GAACCCAAAACCAAAAAAAGAAAGAAAAAAAAGTCCTCATTTTATGACCACTATTCAGACCTAAGCGAGACTGTCGTTAAGTGAGTTTCGCCCCGTTGGGACCAGATCTGTGCTATCCCCAGCTCTCTTTGCCCCAAGACAAATAGTCTTCAATTTAACGGCCATCATCAAGCCCCCCCAAATCTCATCTGCTGCTAATAAGCAAGACATTTGTCACCTCAAGCTTCGTTCCCTTGTATGGCTTTTCTTGCCACCGTTGTTAAGCGAATGCCTGCAGTTGTTAAGTGAATCTGGTTTCCCCATTCGACGGGGTCGGTCACAAGGTCTCAAAAAAGGGCCACGTGAGCAACCCATCATAAATATGAGTCAGCTGCCAAGGGTCTGAACTTTGATCAGGTGACCCGCGATGTCGCAAGTATGAAACATGCCCAAAGCCGTTTTTTTTTTCCCCCCCTAAGTTCGAGCGGTCATTAAATTGAGGTCTTTCCATAATCCAAAACTTGAGATTGCAAAAAGGATCTGACAGGATCTGGCAGAGAAGACTTGGAAGCAGCAATTGAGATCCCAACCCAGCCGGCCTCTGTTGTGACTCCACACCGGTTGCAAAAGTTGCAACCATGCAAAAGTTGTGTTATGAAACCTCCCCCCCCCCCCGCCTCCGCCAAAATAAAATAAAATTGTATTCACACCAGGGACTAGAAACTTGAGAAGTGCGCACGAGCCGTTTGCGGGGGTCACAGAGATTCCATTCCAGCTCTGTTTTGTTTTTGTTTTTTCTTGGTTGGAACAAAGCCCCCTAAATTTTCTGTAGAAATCCTTACGGATCGCCCCCAAATCCCCCCAAGGATCGACTTTAAGGATCTATCCTGGAAAAACATGGAATTTGGAAGCAAAAAAAAATGGGGGGGTCAAAATTTGAGAGAAAAACCCTAAATCTGATTTTTGTTTCATGGCTCTTATTCTTCCCCACTAGATATAAATATAGCCAAAAAAAAAAAAAAAAAATAGAATTTCAAGTGTTGACTATCAACTTACTACTTACAACGATTCGCTTAGCGACAGTTCGAAATTATCAAAGTTACCATGGCAGCAAATAAAAAGGGACTTAGGCCCACGGTTCACACTTACGACCCTCCCCGTTGTCACGTGATCAATGCTCAGCCGCTTGTGAACTGACCTCATATTTATGACGGTCCACCTTTGCGACAAGAAGTCAATGGGGAAGCCGGATTCGCTGAATGACTTATCAACCACAGTGATTCACTTAACGACAGGTTGTAACGGGACAAAATTCGCAAATCAGAAACTCAGTACAGAGAAAGGGAAAGGAAGGAAGGAAACCAGAAAGAGGAGGGAGAGAAGGAAAGACGAATGAGAAAGAGAAAGAAGGAGGAAGGAAGGAAAGAAAGAAGGATGGAAGGAGTATAAGAAGGGAGGAAGGAGGAAAAAAGGAAGGGAAGGAAGGGAGAGGGAGGGAGGGAGGAAGGGAAAAAGAGAGGGAGAAAGGGAAGCAAGGAAGGAAAGAAGGAACAAAAACAGAAAAGAGCAAGGAGGGAGAGAAAGCGAAGGAAGGAAAAGAACGAGAGGGAGGGAGGGAGGAAAAAGGAAGGCAGGGGAATGGAAAAAGGGAAAGGGAAAGGAAGGAAGGAAAACAGAAAGAGGTAGGAGAGAAGGAAGGGAAACGATAAAGAGAAGGAGGAAGGAAAGAAGGAAGGATGGAAGGCGAGCAGGAGGGAGGAGGAAGGAAGGAAAACAGAGGAAGGGAGAGAAAGAAGGGAGGGGAAAAAGAAATGGATAAAGAGAAGGAAGGAAAGAATGAAAATAAAGGAGGGAGAGAAGGAAGGAAAGAAGGAAAGGGGAAGGAGGGAAGTAAAGAAGGAGATGGATGAAAGAAGGAAAGAAGGTGAGGAGAAGGAGGGAGGGAGGAAATCAGAGAGGGAGGTCTAGAAGGAAGGAAGGGGAAAGAGAAAGGGAAAGGAGGAAAATTAAAAGGAGGGAGGGAAGGAAGGCAGAGAGGCAGGGAAGAAGGGGAGGGAGGGAAGGAAAGAAGGAGAGGAGAGGGAGGGAGGAGAGAAGGAGGAAGGAAGGAAGGAAGAAAGAAAAACAAGAAGGAAAGGAAAGGAAAAGAAGAACTGAGAAAAACAGAAAACAGGAATGTTTTCTGACTTCCTTTGCAACAGATAGAAATAAAAAGCAAAATTAATCTACCATCCAATCCTCCCCACCATCCCCCCCCCAAAAAAATCCAGATTTCATCTTTTTCCCTTTTGTGGCCAGACGCCCCCCCCCCAAGGGAGCCATCCCCGTCCGTCATAAAATGAGGGTCTGCCTTGAAGGTGATGGCGAGGGGGAATTCAAGGAAAGCCGACCTTCCTTTGTTCTCAGCGCCTCAGTTCGTTTCTCTGGCTCAGAAGGGGGGAGGAAACTCCAACCGAGGAGGGGCTGCTTGGCTAGGCAGACCCATCCTCCCCGGCAGGAGACACCGAGGCCCATCAACCACCCTGGCAGCAAATCCAGATAAGGTGGAGGCTCTCCAGAAGGTCTGAGAGAGGAAGGAAGAAAGGAAAGAAGAAAGGAAGAAGGGAAGGGAAGGGAGGGAGGGAGGAAGAAAAGAAGGGAAGGGAGGAAGGGAAGGGAGGAAGAAGGGAAGGGAGGAAGAAAGGAAGGGAAGGAAGAGAGAAGGGAAGGGAAAGGAAGGAAGGAAGGGAAGGAAGGAGAATGGGAGAGAGGAGAATGGGAGGAAGGGAAGAAGGGAAGGGAGGAAGGGGAGGGAAGGGAGGAAGGAAGGAAGGAAGGAAGGGGAGGGAAGGGAGGGAGGAAGGAAGAAGAAAGGAGAAGAGGAGGGTGGAAGGAGGGAAGGGATGGGAGGAGAAACAGGAAGGAAGAAGGAAGAAATAAAGGAAGGAGAAAGAAAAGAAGGAAAGAGGGAAGGAAGGAGAGGAGGAGCAGGAAGGAAGAAGGAACAAGAGCAGGAAAAAAGGAAGCTGGGAAGAAAGGGTAGATGGGAGGAGAGGAGGAGTATAGAAGGAAGTTAGGAAGAAGAAATGGAGGAAAAGGAATAAAGGAAGATGAGGGAGGGAGGAGATGAGGAAGGAAGGAGAAAGGAAGAAAAGAAAGGAGGGGGAAGGAGAACAGGAAGGAAGGAAGATGAGAAAGGAAAGAAAAAGGAGAGGAGAAGGAGGGAAGGGAAGGAATAAAGAAGGAGAGGTGAAAGGAAAGAAGGAAGGAAGGAGGAAGCAGAGGAGGAGTAAGAAGGAAGGAAAGAAGCTAGGAGGGAAGGGAGAGGAGGAGGAGAAAGGAGAGGAGGAAAAAAGGAAAGGAAGGAAGATAAGGAGAAATAGGAAGAAAAAATAAATAAAGGAAGGCAATTGGAAGAAGGAAGGTAGGAGAGGAGTAAGGAAGAAAGAAAAGAGAGCAGGGAGGGAGGAGACAAGAAAGGAAGGAGAGGATGAAGGAGAGGAGGAGGGAGGGAGGAAAAAAGGAGGAGAGGCAGGGAGGGAGAGGAGAAAAGGAGGGAAAGAAAGGGAAGAAGGATGGAAGAAGAGGAGGAAGGGAAGGGAGAAGAAAGGAAGGAAGAGGAGGAGGAGGAAGGAAGGATGGAAAATGGGGAAGGAAGGAAGGAAAGGAGAGCCTCCTTTTAGAATGAGGAGGTCGTTAACGGGGACAGACGCTCTCTGGAACAAGAGCCAAGAAGATTCAGCATCGGGGTTCAAAAAAATCTCCATGAAGCTATATCAAGGATGGGAGCCAAGGCCGGAGTGTGTTCTTCCCGCCAAAAGAACTTTTCCAACTTTCCCCAAAACAATCCCATTTGCAAACTGTTTTCAAAGCCCCAAATACAAAACCACCAAAGGTGGTCGAAACTCAGCGCTCAAGAAGCGAGGAATAAAACCCCGATTGGCACAAAAAGCAGCTTAGGAAAAGAAGAGAAACTTGACCCCAAATGCAGGTTTGCTGTTCGGGAAAGACAGGGTCTCTAACGCAATGGGACAGATGGAACAACCCGTGCCTTCAGCCTAGCCAGGATGACAGCTGTCATCCTGGTTAGGCAGAACAGCAGGGCTGGCCTGGCCGCATTAGAGCCATTCTCCACCTCAACACACACACACACACACACACAACCCCTCTTGCCTACACACACACAAAAGCACACACACACCCCATACCATGCAAACTTCAGCAAGGCTGATCTTAAAGTCCCCCCCTCCTGTTGGCATCCTGCAACGAGCCCCGTAACTCAGTTTTAAGAGCAGGAGGGGGGGGGGGGGATGAATGCAATGTGGGGAGGGGGAAAAACAGTTCCCCCCCCTTTCCCTTTCCCAGCCAGCAGAAGCCCCTCGTCTCTATTGTTCAGCCTCTTTTTCAGACAAAAACAACCCCAGCCGTCCTCCTGTCTGTTTACAAAATTCTCGAGCCAAACCCGCTCCGCTTTGCTTGGGAAGAAATAAAAACACACTGGACAACGTACTGTCATAGGGTCTCTCTCCTGGCCAGGAAGATGGAGTGCCGAGGATGCCTGGAAAAGCCTGTTTGGCCAGCCCTGGAGAACTTCTGCCTGCTTCCACAGAAGGGACGGCCTCGCTAAGTTGGGCACAGCCCCCTTTGACGGCGGCCACCTCTTCTCCTTTTTTCCGATCGCTCGTCTCGGGAATCAGTGCCAGTTTAGGGTGGAAGGAACCTGGGCTGCCCAGTTCTCTCTTGACGGCGGCGTCACTGCCGCTGCCGTCCATCTGCCGGTCCCTCTTCTTCTCCTCCTCCTCCTCCTCCTCCTCCGTGGGGAGGAGAGGCTCCTTCAGGATGGGGCAGAGGGGGGCAGCATTGTCCTGACCGGGACGGTGGGCAGAGGCCTGCTCTTCGGAGACAGTGGCCGATCTTTTCATCGGGGCGCTTGGTTTGCGAGGCGTGACGCTCTGAGAAAGGATGCTTGGCGGGGACTCTCGGTCAGGGAGGGTGACCAGCTCGGGGTATTTGTCTACCAGGTTGAAGGCAGGGGGGACGGACAAGTGGGAGCACTCCGACATAGCGCGCCGCATCGCCTTCCGCTGGGTGCCCCCCCGACTGAGAAAGCTGCTCTCGGGGGCTGAGTCCAGCTTCTCTTCCAGCTCAGCCAGAAACCTCTCCTCTTCTGTCTCGGGGACAGTGCCGAATGAGCTGCTGCCCTTCCCGTCATCCTGAGCCAGCTCGATCATGGTCGTTGGCGGCCCCAGCTTCGACGCAGAGCCGAAACCGCTTAGGAGCGAACTGTCCTTGAGGAGGTCCACGGGACTGTGGACAAGGGCTCCGTTCTTTGGCCCGGCGGCTTCAGACAAGACTGAGTCGAAAGTGGGGGCCCACGCCCGGATCTCTGTTTCCATCAGGTGATTCGAGAGGTCTTTCGGGGTCTCCGGACGGCCTTTGGCATCAACCTCTCCCGACTTTGACCCAGCTGCCTTCTCCCGATCCGTGATCCCTCTATTAGGTTCTAAGACCGGAGATCCCCTCAGGCATCCAGCCGGCTCGGTCTGCAAGCCGGCCGAACCGAGGATGCCTGGACTCTCTCCGAAATGGCTCTTCTCGGACCCCGGCGCCCACTTCTCAAGGTGACCCGAGGCTGGCTGGTAAGGCTTGCTCGGCGCCTCAGTTTCCCTTTGGTCCTTCGAGGCAGCCTTGAGGTCTTTCTCCAGCTTCCCTTCGAAGAAGCAGAGCTTGTCCTCGTCGGTGAAGCCGCTGCTTTTCCCCAGCCCATCTGGACGTGGCGGGTGGACATGGAGCCCGATCTCACTCAGCTTACCTTCCGTTCGCTGCCACTCGAAGGCGGCAGCGCCAAATTCCTTCGGTGTGCCCATGCAGGCAAAGGGGTCTGAAAAGCCGTCGGGGTTGGGGGTTTTGCACAGCTGGCTGTATTCGGCAAGGGGCGCGGGGGGCTGGTTGGAGAGCGACATCGCTGCCTGCCTGCTCGCCAGCTGCTTCTCCCCCGTCTCCGAGCCAGAACACCACCCAGCCGGGCTGGCGGGCACCGTGATGTGGTGACGACACGCCAGGCCCCCCTG